TTTTTTTTTTTTTTTTTTTTTTTTTTTTTGTCTGTTTGTTGTTTTTTTTTTTCGAGACAAGGTTTCTCTGTAGCTTTGGTGCCTGTCTTGGAACTAGCTCTTGTAAAGCAGGCTGGCCTCCTCGAATCCACAGAGATCCACCTGCTTCTGCCTCCCGGGCGCTGGGGTTAGAGGCAAGCACCTCCACAGATCGGCAAGTGTCAGGGTTTGGGTAAAATCTTTTTGTTTGTTTGTTTTGTTTGCTTTTGCTTTTTAATTTGTCTTTGAAGGTAAGGGCTTGGTGTAGAGCCTAGGCTGCCGGGAACTCGCTATCCTCCTGCCTCAGCCTGCTGGAGGGTTGGAATGACAGGTGTGCGTCACGCCCAGCTATTATTGATTCTTCGTCTCTAGGATTGTGTGTTATCTTTGCAATTAAAATTTCAGAAATTCCAGCAAGGTGATTCGCTCCAAGGTACTTCACGTGGTGTCCTGTGGGAGGCAGGGATGGATGTTTCACCAAGGGGAGGAACTAGGGTTTTCTGCTTCTTTAAAGCCAGGCTTGAGTTCTTACGTGTACGCTGCAGGCGTGGGAGGGGCTCCATTCACGCCCCGCGCTTCCGGGGTGCACTGCCCTCCCTCTGCTCGACACGACGCCAGCTACTTAGCTCAGTCCTCCTGCCTAGTGCGACTGACAGTCAGGAATTCGTTCCCGGCGCAGGTGTCAGCGCTACTCCGGCACCCGCAGGTCCGGACCAGCCCTCGAATGCCCCGCCCCAGCTCGACCCAGGCACGCCCCCTCCCCGCCCAGACCCCGCCCCCCGCTGCCTGTGTTGTCATCACGTGGTCCGGGAGAGTCCTGATGTCACGCGGGGAGGGACTGCGCAGGCGCAGAAAAGGGGGCGGGGGGACTCGACTTGTTGTGTTGCTGCCCGAGAGCCGGATACTGTCGTGCTGCGGCCGCGGCGCTCCCAGTCACCCGACCATGTCTCACTTAGTTGAGCCGCCGCCACCCCTGCACAACAACAACAACAACTGCGAGGAAGGGGAGCAGCCCCTGCCGCCTCCCGCCGGCCTCAACAGTGAGCGCGGGGCCGCCGGGCTCGGCGGAGGGATGGGGGAGGAGGAGCCGTTCGGTCGCCGCCGCCGCCGTGCGGGAGGGGAGGGGGCGGGAGCAGACGGCAGCGCCATTGGTCGAGGCCGAGGCTGCGCGTGTGACTGACAGCGGCGTGCTCCGCTCAGGAGCCGGCGCTCGGCGCTGGCTTGCGGCCTGCGCTCTGGGCGCTGAGGCTTAGGGTCGCGGCGGGCGTCGGAAGCGGGCGGGCGGCGCGCGCAGCTGAGGGCGGCGGGCTGGAGCTGGCGGGCGGAGCGGGTCTGGGGACGTGCGGCGGGGACGCCGGGAGATGGACGCGGCCGGCCGGGCGTGGCGGGTGGACGTGCGGCAGCGCAGGTGTGCGGGGCTCGCCTGCTTCCCCCACGCCAGTCCAGCGGTCACTGAAGTTTTGTGTAGGGTGCTTGTTCCGTTCCCCCCCCTTTTTTTCCCCCTGAAAATTTCCAAAGTTTCTTAAGTTAGTTTTTATTGTTGTGGTTAACCATGAATTTTTATTTTATTTTACTACTTTTCTGTTTTGAGACAGTCTCGTGTAGCCCAGGCTGGCCTCGAACTTGCTGTGTGGCTGGTGATGATCTGAACTCCTGATCCTCCTGCCTTCCACCTCCCAAGTTCTGGCATGACAGCCACCATACCAGGGATTTTTCGAGTGTTTTTTGTGTTAAATGGATTGAGTGCCCAGCACATCCCGCACATCCCCTCAGATCACACTCAGCTGTCGGCAGTGGACTTCAGGAAATACAGTCAACAACACAACAGACCCAGGGCAGAGGTACTGGCAGTTGAAGGCTGCCGGTCAGGATGGAGTTGCAGTCAAGTGTAGTGCCCTTCTAACAGATACCTTGTCCCCAGAGTGTCCCCTGTTGTGAGATTGACTGCCCTTCTTGCCCAACCTTTCTGTATGTGCTTCGTGTCTTATGAAAGAGGTAGTGTGTGTGGGGGGGGTTGGCATATGGCAAGACTAAGTTTAAAAGCCATTTGGATGCTTAAAGGTCAGGCAGTGTCTTTCATAAGAGGGGCGCTTCAGGCGTAGCCAGAACAGTTTGGTAAGAGCTGTTGCTCAGCCTCCAGGATGGGAAGAACATTTATCTTCGCCCATTGTAGTGGCACATATCTGTCATTCCAGCACTGTCGTGGGCCCCAGAGTAAGACTGTCTCAGGAAGCAACAACCCCCCCCCAAAAAAAAGTAAATAAAAAGAAATAAGATATTTTAAGGTGCTCTGCCCTGTCCCGTCTTTTTGATAGGCCTCGGTCTCTAAATGCTGACTTTAAAAAAGATTTAGTCAATGTGTAATTAAATGTTACTCATATCACATAATACAGAATTAGATTTTTTTTTTTTACCCATCTTTAGCATACATTTTTAGAAATGGTTAGGCTAAAGAGATCCCTGGTCTGTGTTACTTGTAGAAGCGGTGGCTCTTGTTTTGAGTCCCCATAGAGCTTTCAGGATCCTTCTCTCGTGTTGGGCATGCTCATTTCTGTGTGTACCTTCTGCCTGGGCCAGTCACCTTCTGCTTCTTCTTTAGTGGTTCTTTACAGAAGCAGGTGAAGCCCCAACCTCTGTGTGATACCAGATGTTCTTTGAGAAGTCTCCTAGACAGAAAGTATTATACCGGGGCCAGGCTGCACTTCTCAGAGTCATCAGAGATCTGCTGGGTGATGCCAGGTTTAACTATTGGCCTGGCCTCTTCTTTTGTTTGTCTTCTAAAGCTCATCACATAGCCCTGAGTTGAACAAAACAAGCTTTATTGATTTCGCCGAGTGATTTTTTTTTTTAAGGCGCTAAGTGAAACAACTTATTCAGGCATCTAATACTATCTGAATTCCTGATAAGTCCAAGTATTTTGCTGGCTGCAGTTCCACAATTGTTGAAAACAGGAGCTGAAATGAATGCAGATTATTTCTGGCTTGAGATATTTGTCTTTAGTTTAAGGGTCATGGCAGAGGGATTTTTGTATGGATGTGCCTGCATGTATGCATGTGCTCCATGTTCTTGCCTGGTGCCCACCGGGGCCAGGAGAGGGCATCAGATTCCCTGGTACTGGAATTGCAGATGGTTGTAGTAAGCTCTATGTCACGCTGGAAATCAAACCCAGGTCCTCTGGAAGAGCAGACTCTTCTTTTAATTAACTATTGAGTCATCTCTCCAGCCCCACAGCAGAGGGTTTTTTTGTTTGTTTGTTTGTTTTGTTTTTCGAGACAGGGTTTCTCTGTAGTTTTTGGAGCTTGTCCTGGAACTAGCTCTTGTAGACCAGGTTGGCCTAGAACTCACAGAGATCCAGTCTGCCTCTGCCTCCCGATTGCTGGGATTAAAGGCGTGCGCCACCACTGCCTGGCTCCACAGCAGAGTTTTAATAGCAAATATTGAAATTTCTTAAAGATTAATTTAAATTACCTATGTATCAAGTGCAGATACCCATAGAGGCCAGAAGAGGGCTTTGGATCCTTGGGAGCTAGAATACAAACTGAGGGGTTGGGAATCAAACTCTGGTCCTCTAGGCTGGGTGGTGGTGTCACATGCCTTTAATCCTAGCACTCGGGAGGCAGAAGCTGGAGGATCTCTGTGAGTTCAAGGCCAGCCTGGTCTACAGAGCTAGTTCTAGGACAACTGGGGCTGTTAACTCAGAGAAACCCTGTCTCGAAAAACAAAAAAACCTCTGGTCTTCTGTAAGAGCAGTGTATGCTCCTAACAGCTGAGCCATCTTTCCGGCCCAAATTGGTGATGCATATGGAACAGTGAAACTTTTCTCCGATTCTGTTGTTTACTGCTGTGGTGGGACTGTTCAGTTTTATTACAAATTGGAAGACAAATACCCAAACTTCTCCCAAAGTTAAAAGAATGTTTCCAGTTACTTTTCTGATTAAGAAAACTGTCAAGTTTCTCAAGAGATGAGTGAGACACACTGCAGAAATGTCATAAGGAACATCAGAGTATTGTAATTCTTGTGTAATTGGAGTTACTGCCTTTCCTTTTGACAACTCTTCACAGACCGTGCCCTTGCTGTGGCACTGCCTCGCCAGTCTGTAGCGTGCTGTGCCCACAGTGCAGAAGAATGCTGGGGACTGTTACAGGGTTATCTGGGGTCCTAGCATTAAGTACCTAAAACAAGCAGGCAGAAGAAAGGCTCAGAGGACCCCTAACTTTGTTCCAGTGACATCAGAAGCCTTGAAAAGTTGGAAGAAAATAACTGTTTCCTGTGATATGTAAGGATTTAATTGTTGGTGGACGCTTAGGGTCTGCAAGCCAATCAGTTACTGGTCAGGAACTTGTGTGCCCACTTCTGCCATTCTAGAAGATTTCAACTAGATAATAAGTCAGCATGGCTTTGTGCAAACCAGCACAAAGGAACCACTTCCAAAATGTAAACAGTTCTTTGACAATAATAGCTTCAGGAAGAGTACTGACTGGAGGTGATTTCCTTTTTTTTTTTTTTTGTTTTTGTTTTTGTTTTTTTCGAGACAGGGTTTCTCTGTGGCTTTGGAGCCTGTCCTGGAACTAGCTCTGTAGACCAGGCTNACGTTGGAAGTCAAACCCCAGTCCTCTAGAAGAGCAGGCAGTCAGTCAGTACTCTTGACTGATATACTATCTCTCTAGCCCCAAATATCTACATTTTTTTTTTTTGATTTTTCAAGACAGGGTTTCTCTGTGGCTTTGGAGCCTGTCCTGGAACTAGCTCTGTAGACCAGGCTGGTCTCGAACTCACAGAGATCCGCCTGCCTCTCCCTCCCAAGTGCTGGGATTAAAGGCGTGCGCCACCAGCGCCCTGCTGAGGTGATTTCCTTTGTGTGTTTCTTGGATGACGTGAAATCTTTACTGTGTTTCTTTTCCAAGTAAGAGGGGACTTCGTGAGGATTTGGGCCGAGTTAGCACATTAAGAGGACCTGATTGTAAATGAGCAATTTAGGTGGAGAGAAGGTGTGTCATTTGTCTGTTAAGACATAATCCTAGCACTGGGAAGGCTGAAGCAAGATCCGTGGCCTAAGGTAACCTAGAGTGAGGTTCCAGGGCAGCCTAGGCTTGTAGTGACAGTAATAAAAGAAACGAGCCCCTCCACCTGCTTCCTTTTTTTTGTCTCATATTCAGAAGATAAAGTTAATGTTTTAAAAGTTTCTATTTCTAGCTGGGCATGGTAGTGTATTCCTTTAATCCCAGCACTCAGGAGGAAGAGGCAGGAGGATCTCTGTGAGTTCAAGACCAGCCTGGTCTACAAAGGGAGTTCCAGGACAGGCTCCAAAGCTACAGAGAAACCCTGTCTCAAAAAACCAAACAAACAAAGTTTTTATTTCTGTTATCAACACAAGATTATTTAGTTTTGCTTTAAGACTTGGTCTTCTTGAGTTTGTAGCAACCCTTCTGCCTTGGACCCCCCCCCCCCAGCCAAGATTACAGGTGTGAGCTACCACACCCATCTAATGGATTCCTTATAAGGAATGTGTACCTGACTTTCCCTGTGACTGTGCGTGCTTCCATAGAGAGTATTTCTGGGGTCAGGGAGATGGCTCCATCATTGAAATGCTTGCAAGCATGAGGATTTGAGTTCCCCAGAGCCTATACCAGGCATGATGGTCCACAGTTGAGATCTTGGCTTTGGGGAGGCAGAGATGGGTAGATCCCAGCAAGAAGGCCTGCTGGCTAGCCAGCATCATCTAATTATCAACTTTTAAGTCTGTGAGAGATCCTGTCCCAGAAAACGAGGAACTGCCTGAGGGTGACCTTTGACCTCCATACATACATGCAATCATACAGATACACATGCACACATACTTAAATTGTCTCTAAAAGACTGCTGCTGAGTTAAGAATAACTTTTAAAGGCTTTTGTTACATATAGCCAGATAACCTTTCAGAATGTTTCCTCAAGCCCTCAGCATAATAAAATATTTGGAATATAGTCTTCTGGGTAACTACTAAGCATTGTCATTGGATAATGGTTAAAAATGTGATGTCTTTATGGAAAGTGAGATTCTAAGTAGCTGGAGAGCGAGTACTCAATGGTTAAGAGCATTGACTGCTCTTAAGAGGGTCAGGTTTGATTCCTAGCACCCATATGAGGCTCGTGACTGTTAACTCCAGTTTACAGGAGCTCTGACACCCTTCACAGGCACCAGGCATCCATGTCGTGCAGACATCATGCAGACCAAACACCCATACACATGAAACTGTAAAAGAAAATTTTAAAATGAGATTCAGGATATTCAAAGGAATGCGCACATACTAACAGTTGAAAGGCACATCAGAATTTTAAGTGCAAATCGATACTTGGTCAGTCAGTGGTTCTCAACTTTTCTAATGTGGTGACCTTTTAACACAGTTTCTCGTGTTGTGGTAAACCCAACCATAAAATCCTTTCTTGCTACTTCATTACTGTAATTTTGCTACTGTTATGAATCATAGTGTAAATATCTGGTATGCAGGCTGTCTGATATACGGCCCCAATGGGGTCATGACCCACAGGTTGAAAACCATGACACAGAGGACCATATATACAGTACAATTCCAGTTGTTTATTTAAATTTTTTTTCAGCTGGGTAGTAATGGCACAATTATTTAATCCCAGCACTCGGGAGGCAGAGGCAAGCGAATCTCTGAGTTTCAGGCCAGCTTGGTCTACAAAGTGAATTCCAGGACAGCCAGGACAGTTGCACAGAGAAACCTTGTCTTTGAAAAACAAAACAAAACAATTTTTTCTTTTGAGGCCAGCCTTGTCTACAGAGTGAGTTGTAGGACAACCTGGGGTACATAGAGAAATCCTATCTCAGAAAACTATAAATAAATAAATAAATAAATATTTCTCTTTATTTTTTTAATTTTTATTTTATGTACGTTGGTGTTCTGCCTGCATGTATGTCTTTGTGAGGGTGTCAGGTCCCGGGAACTGGTATTATAGGAAGTTATAAGCTGTCATGTGGGTGCTGGGAACCCAGATACTCTGGAAGAGCAGCCAGTGCTCTTGACTGCTGAGCCATTTCTCCAGCCCCAAAAAATATCTCATAAGAAAAGCAATAAACTTGCAGAAATTTCCATGTGAAACTATTCAAAGTGATTTCCTCTGGACATAGGAATGGGAACCAGGTGTAGTGGTGTGCAGTCCTATACTCCCAGCAGACACAATGTGGGATGCTGAAATATACCTGGGCTACATGAGACATTCCCAGAAAATCAAAATCAAAGCTTTGGTTATATATACAGAGTTAGAGTACCTGTTTAATAGGCCTGCTGCACCTGTGTTCAAGTCCACAGCACCAGAAAAACAACAAAATAAAGCACTAGAAATAGGAAGGAGAGAATAATTATTAGGATTTTGTTTTTAAGATTAAAAAAAGAGTTATGTGTGAGTGTTTTGTTTGCATGTGCCTGGTGCCCAAGGGTTCCAGAAAGAAGATATGGGATCCTCTGGAACTGGAGTTATAGATGGCTGTGAGCCTCCATGTGGGTACTGGGAATTGAACCTAGGTCCTCTCCAAGAGCAGCTAGTGCTTTGAACTGCTGAGCCAGCCCTCCTGCCCTGAGTCTTAGTTTTATGTGCTGACATTTCTGTGTTCAAGGAATATACTTTTGTAATCCAGTGATTTTGAAGAATACTTACCATAGTGACTAATCTGTATGTGGCAATTAATTCTCTGTAGTTTTCTGTGTGCGTTATTTGTGCCATCTTAATAATTTTTTTTATTTTCTTATTTTAATTTTTTTTTCGAGATAGGGTTTCTCTGTAGCTTTGTAGCCTGTCCTGGAACTAGCTCTTGTAGACCAGGCTGGCCTCGAATTTACAGAGATCTGCCTGCCTCTGCCTCCCGAGCGCTGGGATTAAAGGCGTGCACCACCACCACCCAGCTGTAATTTTTTAAAATAGATATAGCTGTTATCACTGTTTACAGATAAGGCAACTAAGACACAGAGGCTAAGGCACCTGATTGGGTATAAGCTGTAAGCATTAGTATGGGGTGTAACTTCAGCTGCGCTGTTAACTGTGGCGCTGGTATATGACACTCCAATACATTCTACTTTATGGTGGGAATGGGGGCATTGTACTCCCGACTGTTGCAGGCATAGCAGGAGTCACTTTTAAACCTTTCTAGGTGTGTCTTCTCAAGTTCCTAATGTTAGGGTAGCAACTGTTTACGTTTAATGCAGAAAATAGAGTTGGTGTGGGCTTGGAAGTCCTTCAGTGAAGTGAGGAGCACAAACCCAGGTTCTGTGGGCACCATTCTTTGATTAGATTCTCTAAGCACATGTTGATTGTCCTGTCTGGAACCCTTGGTCCTTAGTGCTCCTGCCAGAGCAGCCCTGGGCTTTGGTTTTGTTTATTTTGTTCATTGGGCTGTCTGTCTACAAGAACCAATCCCATTGGTTTTAATAGACATTTGAAAACCCTAGAAGCAGTGGGAATAGGGAAAGATTGTTTATTCTCTCTGTCCCTCCATCTAGAATATTTTACAGAGCTCTAAATTTAGATGTGCTCTGGCACATTCGTACCCACTCCAGGAGCACTCTGAATATTTAATTAAACTAGATCTCTCTAGTGATTCTGGTTTTATTTGCTCTTCTTCCTGTGTTCTCAGCCATGCCCATCTTCACGTAGGTGTAGCATGAGGCCAGGTGCTGTTGTGTGCCTTTGTTGTTTGGAATTAATTGGTGATTTCAGGACTGCTGGGGGGTGGGCTGCCTTTGATGGAGAGGACAGGGCAACTCTTTAGCAACAGATACAAACTCCATAACATATAAGTGAGTGTCTGCTGTTTGCTGGTTGTTGATGTTGCTGGGTAGTTCTGACACTTCTGGGGAGTAGATCCCCTCTGTTACCAGCTCTGTCGACTGGTGAGATGGAGAACGAGAAGGGTTAAAGTGCCGGGAGTCCCATTCCTAGCTAGGCCTGTGAACTTCTCCCTCAGGTGAGCTCACCCTCCTGCTGGATCTGGTGTCACTGCCTCCTTTAGAGTGCATTTTAGGGTTTGAGGTGTTGTTTGGCCATTCTGACGAATCTGCTAAGAATTTAGAGATTTGGCCATGCTCACCTGCTTGGTTACATTTTGGAGGTTGTAAGGTTTTGGTTTGGGAGGGATTTTGTATGTTTTTCATAGCCCAAGTCAGACTCAGACTGGCTCTTGATCATCAGTCATCCTGCCTTCACTCCCAAGTGCAGGTCTGAGCACTGTCTGGCTGTTGGTCACACTTCCTAAAGTGAAGTGCTGTGCAGAAGCGATGTAGAAGATCTCTTTTCTGAGAAGTTGATTAATTGGCCAGTGTTACTGATGCCTATTGAGCTTATTGGACCAATAAGAATCTTCAAGAACACGCGTCTTAGAAAGGCCCGTCCCCTTCCTATGGTCCCACCCCCTTCAACTATTTATCCCAAACTTCTCTGTAGCCCATCTGCAGTGGCTTCTCCCTCCTCCACACACTCAGGACTTAATGAAAACCCTAGGAAGTAGAGGTCCTGGGAGAGAAAAGAGAAGGAACAACCTGATAAGGTATGTTCAGCCTGGAAGAGAAAACTTAAAAGTGTGGTGGGGGAAGGGGAGACACGTTGGTGGTCTCCCTCCACCCCAATTTTTAATTTTATTTGGTTTCTTCAAGGACCAGATGTATTAATGCATGCTCTGGGTTTGGGAACAAATTGAGAACTTTTTGATTAAATTTTGGTTTTACTTTAGGAGCTTTTCAGTTTGTGTTAGGAGACAGCTGTCATCCTGTTAAGATGGGCTGTACGACAGTGCTAAGTCATCTGGTGATTTAATTAGGTGCAAATCCTGTGGCACCCATGGCAAGTCGTGTATGTGTAACTGAGGTGTTAAAGGGATGCCTGTCTAGTAAAGGAAGAGGCATATAGTTTTTGAAGAAGAGCCCGAGTTTTCACCAAAGTGTTGATTGGACATAAATTAAGCTTTAACCAGAAAAAAAAAATTGGCAGGAAAGCCCGTCTTCTATAATTTTAGATTTCTACCTTCTGGGCAGGTTTAATGCATGAGTTCCTTTGGGAGCAGAACAACATGGATTCTGACTTTCTGTGTGTTTATTTTCTTCAGAATACTTTGGCTTCAGTTTGAGTCGAGTCAGAATTCTTATCTGAACTCAGCATATGGACATCTGTGTGCACAGGAGGGATTTCAGCCCCACTGTGGTTATGACTTGTTATCTGACCTGTCCAACAGGTTCCTGGGTGGAGCTACCTATGAACAGCAGCAATGGCAATGATAATGGCAACGGGAAGAATGGGGGGCTGGAGCACGTCCCTTCCTCTTCCTCCATCCACAATGGAGACATGGAGAAGATCCTTCTGGACGCACAGCATGAGTCGGGACAGAGCAGCTCAAGAGGCAGCTCTCACTGTGACAGGTATGTGAAGGCTGATGGTGTAACTCAGTTGAGTGGGTAGGAAGGTAATTTTCATGAGGAGAAGGCTCATTTGCTTAAGTAGTCATTAAGAGAATAGGCCTCCAGATTTATTGTACCATGCATGTTTAAACTAGATAGCTAGGCCAGGCACTTGGGAGGCAGAGACTTGTGAGTTCAAGACTAGCATGGTCTACATCTCGAGTTACAGGCCAGTCAGGACCTTATGGTGAGATCATGTCTCAAGAAAAATTAAAAACCGAATAGCTAATGGATAGGCACCTGAGTGCTCACTGTCACCTCTCCCCCATTATCATTTTTATTCTCAGACTGAATTGTTTTCAGATGTTGATCAGTTTCAAATTGAGTAGCAGGCCAATAGATGGCTAAGCTGATAAAGGCACTTGCTGCTAAGTTCTGTAGACCTGCTTTTCATCCTGGGTCTCACTTGGAGCAAGGAGAGAACTGAGAACTAACTTCCTCAAATTGTCTCCTGGCCTCCACATGCACATCCACACACACAAACTAAATGCAATTTCAAAATCAAAATGAAATTTAGCATCATTAATGTAAACTTACAGAGTTAATCTGAGTTTCCCATTTTCCTTTGTTTTTGAGGTCGTGTTATGAGTCACAGTAACATTCTCTCTCCTTCTCTAGGCAGCCAGAGGTAGGGCCATGTGGCCTTTTTGCATCCTTCACAGTAACAGGCTGGCACTCGTGGGGCACTCAGTAAATGCTCTGCTCACAGGACCTGCAAGTTGATGGAGGTTCCAGTCATGTCTGTGTGGCTCTCAATAAGCAGTGTGCTGAGGTCCATGCAGTCCCTCTGAGGAAATGTTACTTACATCTCACTGCATGGCTCTTTGCCTCTGGAAAGCTGAGCCTTTTTTCCCTGTAACTTCCTGAGAGACTAGGTATTAAATAACATTAACAATCGTAAGCTGAATATAGGTAAGACATGCCTATGGTCTCGTCACTCAAGAAGCTGAGCAGGAGGATTGCCATAGGTTGAAGGTCTACCTGAGCTACATAACAATACATAATGATAACCCATCTCCAAAAGTAGTGAGAAGTTCCCTGCAGGGTGATAGCCTCATAGGATGCTCGATGCCACAATGGTCTGGCTCATTTGTAGCTGGCTGATGATTCACCATGGTGAAGATGTGCGTGCATGGGAAGATTGAGGGGCATTTAAAAATGGGAGAAGCAGGGTGGGTTATATCTACAGGAGTAATTTTGTCTATAGCACATGGTTAGCCTCTGAGAAAATAGAGAAAGAAGTTAAACCACATCTGACTTTCCCGCATGCCTTATGACCCAGTACTGTCTTTAAGGCAGCTAGAAGACAGGTCCGATGGCTGTTGGGCACAGTGAGCACCCTGCCACCTCCGTGTTATCTCTGCCTTGTTGCCATGTCTCCTGTCACAAGCAGAAGTGAGCACATGGTTCTTTCTGGACAGTTGCTATCGGTTCTGGAGGCTGCAGCACTGGGCTGCCTTTCAGTAGTTTTGTTTGTTTGTTGGTCTCTACATAGTCCTGGCTGCCCTCGAAATCACAGAGATCTGCCTGCCTCTGCTTCCTGAGTGCTGCAATTAAAGGTGTGTGCCACCATGCCCAGCCAGAATAAAGTTTTATATCTAGGGACTTGCTGAAGGATTTCTAGAGCTTTCTCTGAGTTTCTGGTGTTTCTGTCCTCTGTAGCCTATTTTTGTACTTGTGCATGCATGAGCCTGATCATTGGTACTGTGTGTACATGATTCTGTTGTTCCCAGGGTGCTAAGAAGTCGTTTGCTTGTTGGGCATCCTGTTTAGCTTATGATGACAGTGATGTGTGTGATGAACTATGACTTCATCTTCCCGGGGTCAGCTTAGTTCTGGTTCCTGAATATGAAGAGGAATAGCAGAGGGACTTTCCGGCCATCTAGTCTCAGTGAGACAGTGGGTTCCAGGTCCAGCTAGAGACACTACCTCACAAAATAAGATGGAGAACAGTAGAGGAAAGTAATGAGAGTCACTTGTAACTTCCACAAGGACGTGCACTTACACCTGCACACACATGTATACACCAGACATGCATAGCACTACAGTACAGCAGAAAAGGGGGCTTCAAGATTCGTGTGATTTGACTTGTGTTTGAAGTTATGGAAAGTGTTTCTTATCAGTGGAGGAGTTTTTAGGATTGTTGGATATAACCTCAGCTGATGGACATGTTCTCTTCTCTCCCCTTTCCTTTCTGTCTTCTCTTCCCCCCTACTTTCTGGTCTTGGTGCTGAGTGCTGAACACAGTGCCTCTAGCGTGCTGGGCAAGAACTGCTCTGCTGACTGCATCTCCAGCCCTCTTGTGACTCTCTGGTTTTGGGACTGCCCTGCTGAGTTGCACAGGCTGGGTGTAAACTTGCTCTATAGCCTGGGCAATGAACTTGAAAATTCCCTGCCCCAGGGTCTAGAATAGCTAGGATTTCAGACTACACCACCAGGCCTAGCCTGTTTTAAAGATGTTTTGTTTAAAAGTTATCCCATGTCAGGTGTGGTGGTACAAACCTTTAATCCCAGCACTCCAGAGAGGCACTTGGGTCTTTCAGTTCTAGGACAGACACTGCCGTGGTGGTTAGAAGATATCCCAGCATGCCTTACTTTGTGTTGTATCCTGCCGTCCCAAGCAGTTTCTAAAAGCGCAGTGTGGACCTATTCCTAGAGCTCCTCCTTTGCCTGTCAGTGCAGGACAAACATATCACTGTGCTTTAACAGGCTCCCCAGCTGAACCTGAGAGGAGCTGGGCTCTAGGCTTGATGGCATTCCTAATCTTCAGGTGTGAACTGCTTACCAGTGAAGAAGGGAGCTTTTCTCTAACAAGATTGGTATCAACAGCACAGTACAGAGGGAAAACAGCCCTTCTGTGGGCTTATCGACCTATCAATTTGACTGTCGGGCCTGGTCATCGGTATGAGACTGGCCCTTGATGACATCGTGTTACCAGCACAAAGACAGCGGCCGCACAGGGAGCTAGCATAAGTCATGCAGCCCCGACCTTCACCATTTGTCTTTTATGCACAAAACCCATATTCTGGTTGGCACATTTCAGTTAACAAGAATTGAAACTACAGGAGCTAGAAAGCAAGATTAGTACATTTAGGGACTTTCTTGGCTCCTGGAATTATATGCTTTAGGTTTTTGATGGGTTAGGTCTTTGCTCCTCCTGTTTTGGCGGGTGTTGGGGCCTGTGTGCTGGATTTTAAGGTCAGAATGGTGCCTCCAGCATGTCGTCAGTTGTGCTAAGGTTTGGGAACTTGTTACAAAAGAACTCAGTCTGGATTTTGAAGATCATGTCCCCATCATTGGACAGCAGTGGAACAAGCACGTGTGGTGCTTCTACATCTTCAGGTCCTATGTTGTGGTTGTCACTGTGAAGGCAGCATTCCCACTGACAGGCTGAGCTCTGTGAGATTACTCCGTCACACTGTGCTGCTTACTCTCAACATAGGATTTGCTTCTTTGGTATTCGATAGACTTTAAGATTTGCTCCTGTTTCAGAGCTATCTTGCTGTAACTTTCATTTTCTGTTTTTCAGTAAATTCTTAAGATGTGACAAAACAAGAATTAAAACTACTGAACTAGGCTGGCTAGATGGCTCGGTTGGTAAAGGTGATTGCGTCAAGCCTGATGACCTGAGTTCTAGTCCCAGGAGCCTATGTGGGGGGAGGGGAGAATAGACTGCCAGTTGTTGTCCACTGACCTTCACATGTGCACCAGGAAATACTTGCACACACAAACATATATGCCCAGAAGAATAAAGTATAAAAAACAAAAAATAATGTTAAGTTTTTTCTCTCCTAGCCCTTCACCACAAGAAGATGGACAGATCATGTTTGATGTTGAGATGCACACCAGCAGGGACCATAGCTCTCAGGTGGGTGTGTGTTTTATTTTGGTTTGGAAAACACACAAGAGTCTCTAAAGTTTGTTGGCTAAAATAGGGTGCTGGGCTCCAAGCCTGATTACATTTTACCAATGGAGTGTTTCTCTAACAAGATCGGTGTCTGTAGCCCAGAGTACAGCTCTGTCTGTGAGCTCATGGACCTTCGACTGTTGGGCCTGGTACCAGTTGTATAAGGCTGCTCCTTGATGCTATAGCAAGCATACGGGCAATAAGTGAAGACGGGAATTCCTTGTTTCTTGAATTTTCTATTGTGCTAACTCTTAGAAAGTTACTGATGATGCCTTATTTGTGGTGTTCCCTCACGGCATAAGCACAGGCTGCTGTGCTGGAGCTGTGTGTCTGTGCCATGCTTCTAGTCTTCTGCCAGAAGACTGCACCGCTTCTCCACACCTCACTACTCTGCCTTTTGCTTTTTTCTAAAGCTGGAAAATCCATGCAGTCCACACTGGCTCACTTAAGCTCACTTTAGCTGCTCACATGCTGAGACTTGCAATACTAGTTTACTCTGTGTCATGCACTTTGTTGTCTAAAGAAGCTTGGTGATAAATGGCTGAAATGAAATGTTTAAATTCTGGCTTGTGTGTGTGAGTTTGGCCATATGCAGGATGCTGTAACTGGTGTGGAAAAGGCACATGAAGTTCATGGCAAGGAGGTATCCCCTGGACAGAAGAGAGGAGAGAACTGATACTCTGTTGTAGCGGGTCTTTGGTCTGATTGATTTTATTTAGACATTTTCCAAAGAGTGTCTTCAAGAGTACTACTCAGTTGGGAAGCTCTATGAACTTATTCTTTTTTGTTTGTTTTTGTTTTTCGAGACAGGGTTTCTCTGTGGCTTTGGAGCCTGTCCTGGAACTAGCTCTTGTAGACCAGGCTGGCCTCAAACTCACAGAGATCTGCCTGTCTCTGCCTCCCAACTGCTGGGATTAAAGACGTGTGCCACCACTGCCTGGCTCTCTATGAACTTATTCTGAAGTCAAATAAGTGACGCCATGCATCCTTGCTCCATGAATTGCTGTTTCAGGCTGTGCAGAGTCCAAAGAAAGGCACCAGCTGAAGCCAAGTCTTTCCTGAGTTCATTTTCCTTCAGAGCTCCATTTCCCCCCACCCCCCATGGGTATTTCTCCTCTTAGCTCAGTGAAAGCTAGGTGTGCAGCCCTGACTCAAGAAAATGAGTGTGATCAGGCCCATGAGGTCACTGAATTTAACTGCAATCTTAGGACTGAATGCAGCCATTATAAAATTGGAAAGAAATCAGAGAGAGAGAGAGAGAGAGAGAGAGAGAGAGAGAGAGAGAGAGAGAGAGAGAGAGAGAGAGAGAGAGAGAGCGCGAGAGAGCGCATGTGAGAATAAGATAGTCTGAGGTTGACTTTAAGCAGGGGATAAGCCATGCTATCAAACTGACCAGTGGGGACAAGCATGGGTTTTTGCAAGTAGTTGGATGCCTATAAAGACAAAGTTGGGTCTGTGGAGTAAAAATTTTAAAATAAAGGAGATACATTAGTAGATGCTTTATATTGCATATAAAGCATTTATATTTTTAAGATTGAAGAAGTAATTGAAAAGCTAGTCACTAGGGTTTAGGAAAATGAGTTTCATGAATGAGAAAGTTTTTTGTTAGAAAGTTAAGAAGAACTGGCTGAGGCTGTCCATTTTCTTTATGTGTGTCTGTGAGGAATAAATGAGATGTCATGATCCAGCTTTACCCAGAGAAGTTAGGAAAGACACCAGAACTTACTAGTATGTTCTGATGCTAATAAGTTTCTCAGTCCAGCGGAGGGACAGGGTAATGTTACTCTACTGGGGAGACGGGGAGACAGACACTTTGTCCTCATGTGGTTATCACCTAAGATGACAAAGCAAGTCAGTGTTTGAGCCATGACTGAAAGCAAACCTGAGCCTGTGATCCAGTCCTTCACTGAAACTGACCTCTGAGGGGAGTCAGTCCCTAGTCAGGAGACTAGGCATGTGAATGAGCTGATGGGTCTGCAGAGCCGCAGGGTGGGGATTCCTAAGCAGGCTCACCAGTGCAGTGTTCCTCTTCCTCAAAGGTGATGGGACCCATGCGACTCCACAGTGTAGTAAGAAATAGACTCAGTCTCATGCAGACTTATATATAGTCCATGATGGCATTGTTTTTTAGGATGAGCCCAGCATGGAGTTGCTGTCTTTGGAAATAGCCTCCTTTCTGTCTTGTGAGACTGGTTTATCTGTACATGGATACAGGCATGCAGTTTAATACCCCTATTTAGAGACCTAAAGAGAACTGGAGGTGGGCCAGATAATGAAGAATTAAATGGTAATAAAATAAAGACCCACTCACCCCACCTCCCAGGACTGTTTGCGGTGGTTGAGGGAAGAACAGAGTTATACATGGTTAGATGAGGTGCCCTTTTGCCATATTTTTTTAATTATAGGAAGATGATTCAAAACCTCAAAATGGGCCAAGCATGATGTGTTTAGATCTTTATTGTAGTTTCTGAATTCAGGAGGCTGAGAATTTTAAGATCTGAAGGCCAGCCAAGGCCATAAAGAAGCCTGAGGCCAACATGGAGTGTTTGGTGAGGCTGCTAACCATCTCTCTCCCAAAACCCTGGGATTGGCAAGTTTAAGATTAATAAAGGAAATGAACTATAGTAAACATTAAAGTAAGTTGAGAAATATATCTGTGGATTAAAACAACTGTATGAATCCAAAGGTAACTTTGCTTTAGTCCTCTGGAGAAAATTCCATTATCTTGAAAAATTCAGAGCACAAATCTCACATTGTTTTCTCTGAAAAGGATGAAGTATGAACTTGTTCAAAAAAATCTGAACTAAAACAGAAGCACTTGGAATCCTAGGAGGCCCAAGGAGGAACTAAGCAGAACAAACTGTTATAAGACTGGCATGCAGTTACTGAGGCAGAATCTTTCTAGCATGTCAGAGGCCCTAGGCCTAAGTCTCCAGCATTGCTGAAACCAAACCAAAAGAATCAAAGGGCCATCAAGGTGGCCTAACCGCCTCAGTTGCAACCCCATATTGGAGCCCTGGCACCCCATGGTGGAAGGAGAAAAACAGCTTCTGCACAGGCACCACCCCTCATAATAAATACAGATACAAAGGTAACATCCAAGGAATGACTGTAGCAGGTTGAAGACTCAAAAACGCTGTACACAGGCTGCTCAGCGCTTTCCCTGTGGCTGCTGATTCGTTTCTGCCTGAGATGACTTCAGGGTTACTCCAGAGAGCCAGCTCATGATTCTGAGTAATCTCAGTGCCTGCTGGAAAGAGCTCAGTCCTAAATGCGGCATTGTGCTATTCAGTGGAATTTGCCAACTTCAGCAGAACTAGATAAGGGGCATGCTGACAAAGGGACACAAACATCCCCTGAGCTTTGACCTGGATTTGGTAGTAAACGGGTGTTGTGTGTAGAGCCAGGCTTAAGCTCCCTTCCCAGACAGCTGAGTCGCTAGGAGGTGGAGCTGTGGAAAGTATCCGTGAGTTGGCCAGGTGTTTGACCTCTTGGTCAGAATCAGAGTGTTCAGTAGTGTCCACTGTGGAGTCACAGCCTTACAGCTAATGTGTCATTTTTAGGAATTTCTCACCCCTTTAGTTTCTGTTAAAAGAGAGTTTGCCGGGCTTGAGTGTAGAACCCCAGCACTTGGGAGGTCAAAGGCCATCCTGGGCTACATAGTGAATTACAGGTCAGCCTAGGCTACAGAATAAGACACTGTCTTAAAGAACCAAAAACAAGAAAAAGCTTGTGGAAATATAATTTTTTTCTAGCCTGACATCTCAGGTTTTCACTAGCAATAAAAAGAATATTTTTCATTTATTTAATAGATGTTAACTTCTGACTCACTTCAAAATAGATTATTCCTCCCAGTAAAAAATTAGTTTTAGAATCTTAAGAAACATTCATTCATTCCTCTTTAAAAGCAATCTCCTTTCAGAAAGTGAGAAACATGGTTCTATGAGTGGGACCTTTGGGGCAGCTTGCCTGGGCTGGAAACCAGTGGCCTCTACCTTCAGTTGTGAGGCCCTCAGCAAGTCACATAAACCCTGCCCTCTTCAGTAGAATGGAGTGCAGCAGTTTCTGTTTGGGGATTGACCAAGGTCAAGATCAATGCATGTGAGCAGCTTGAGTAGATGCTGCTCTTGCAGGTGTTTGGCAGCATCATGATTTACCACATCTCTGCCAACTTTTTTATCGATTTATTTCCACGTCTTTTTTTGGTATGTTCTCTTTTTTTTTTTTTCTAGTTCTAAAAAATTAAATGCAATTGAAACTATGTACAGTGTGGGAAATATAATGTTGAGAGGGACGTAGCGAAACCCCACTGTGCATCCTCAGGTTCAGCAGCAGCAACTCCGTGGCTTCCTTACATCTCTGAAGAGGGCTTTTGCAGGGCACAGCCTGTCCTTCAGTGCGGCCTCCATCCTGCTCACTTCTCATCCTGGGATGCTTTTAGGGCAGTTTTGAGCCCATTCCGAAAATAGGCTGCTTCCTAAATAAAGACGCATGACTTTAGTTTGTTTTGTATTAAAAGAATTGTTTATCCTTTCCTGCTTTTCTCTTGTTCTTCCCTTCTCACTGTTTGAATTCTTTTTAGTCAGAAGAAGAAGTTGTAGAAGGAGAGAAAGAAGTTGAGGCTTTGAAGAAAAGTGCAGACTGGGTATCAGACTGGTCCAGTAGACCCGAAAACATCCCACCCAAGTAAGTGCTGCTTTGTCTTGGCGGTGAGTTTTATGTGCTTGTCTGTGGGACTGTGTAGTCCCCAGGACACGTGCAGCACTTGTGTTCTGAAACCAGACTGTCTTCTTCTCCAGAGAGTTCCATTTCAGACACCCTAAACGTGCTGTCTCTCTAAGCATGAGGAAGAGTGGAGCCATGAAAAAAGGGGGCATTTTCTCTGCAGAGTTCCTGAAGGTCTTCATCCCGTCTCTCTTCCTTTCTCACGTGTTGGCTTTGGGGCTGGGGTAAGTACCCTGTTGACAGTGCATTACTTAATGGTGGTGGGTGGCAAGGTGTTGAGAAGAAAAGAGCCGTCTGCCCTGCATCCTTCCCTGGGCACTACTGCCCAGGATTACTTTTAAATTTAGCTAATTATAATTTGTTATTAAATACAAATGTAGGAATAAATGCAAAATGGTTTCCCCCCAGATGGTAAAACACACTATTGTGGAGGATGATTCTTGAATATGCTGGTAGGCTACTGTAGGTACTGTCCTTTTGTGGTTTTTTTTTTTTTTTTTAACTTTGTGGCATTTATATTCTAAAGTCAGCCTCATGTTTACTTAATTCATTAACTTGTGGCATGTCTTTTCAATCAATGCTTTTCTCCCTTGATTTGAGTATTTAAGAAAATACACTTCTGAAAGATTTCAGTTTGTAAGCATTAGCTTACCTGCTGCATGCACTCTGAGCATGCCCAGTGAGTCGTTTTCTGTGTCTGGTGCATGGAAAGTGGATCATCCCTGATCTTGCTGTGAGTGGCTCAGCATAGCAGAGGGAAGTGTCTGCTCTGGAGCATGGGCGTGTGGGCATCTTTCCCTGTCTCCTTGGTAGAGGATCTGCTGGTAAAGACGGGACAGTGGAGTGAAAGGCACTGTGGAGCTTGGGAGGACTCTTAATATCTGCCACCTGTTCACTTCATCTACCATAGAAAGCTTGGTTTGGGGGCCTCGCAGTGTTTCTTGCTTTCATGTATCTTTAAACTGTTTTTGTTGCTTTAAGTTTAACTCTTGCTACAGGTGAATGTTTTTAAGGGGCTTAAAAATTGCTATTACTAATTGAGGACTGTGCTGCTTGTTCTCCTTGGCTCTGCTTTTGCTGTGGAAGGGGTCATTTTCTTGCTTGGTGTTGGAAAGTCATGTTAGATCCCATCTTAAAAACACTGTCTATGACCTTCTCTCTCAATCTGAACTAGCAATAGAACCTTTTATCCACATAGAAACATGTTGGGGCTGGAGAAGACTGCTTTGAAAGGGCCTCTTTTTCCTAGCTTTACCTGGTCTTGACATCACTGCCCTTGTGATTCCAATCCTGACTTAATGACAGAATCCTATGAAATCATCTGGACTGAGCTAGTCAGTGGGCTGTAGCTCAGTGGGAGCATGCTTGTTTAACAGACGGGAGAAAAGAGTGGTGGCTCAGGGAGTCTGGGAAGAGTGCGCTGAGGCTCTCAGATGTTTACCAACTAGAGATCACCCTATGGACCAGGCTGGTGTAATTGTGGAGATAGATGGAACATGATACACTCTGCTTCCTTTCAGCATCTATATTGGAAAACGACTGAGCACACCTTCTGCCAGCACCTACTGAGGGAAACGAAAAGCACCTGGAAATGCGCGTGGCCTGTGAAGTGGTGTATTGTAGTTTGAATTTGAGACCTATTGTAAGCATGATCCCCAACCTACAACCCTATTTTTACATACCCAATCCCAGTAACTCTCAAATCCAGTATTTTACTCAAACTCTGTTGAGGGATTTTACTAACCTTCTTCCCTTTTTGGCCTGTAAGACACTTTAGAGATTCCTAACAGAATTTCCTGTCGTTTAGAAATTTGCAAGGGCTTTTTTCAGCAATGCCACCAGCAGATTATAACCTTGTCAACAATGCCATCATTTCCTCTTAGTACCACCAGAATCACACCTGCATCATTCATGCTAGAAGCTGAATTCTAGCCATGCAACTACATCTCTTTCTAAATGAGGTCAGGTTTGCAAACAGTACTATAAAAGCTTTGTTTAGTTTTTGTTTTCCAGAACAAAAACAAGCTTCCCTAAGCTTGAATTTATAGTTATTAAAAACAAAAGAAAACCAAACCAAAAAAAAAAGCAAGACATAAGGAAAAAAATATCCTGGGCAATAAAAATTACTTTAAACCAGCTGTGGAGCCGCTCTTTTCCTAAGCCTCCTGTTCCGCCTTCAGTTCGTAGGAGGCAGCCTGTATGATGACAGATAGGATATAGAAGAGTAGAACATGCTGGCAGATTTTAGCATTAGGATGTTGCAATGCTATCTTTTCTATGATAGAGAATCTTTATTTCTAAGGAATGCCTCAGATCTAGACATACACGAAATTGCTTTTGAGATTTTTGTGCGTTTGGTATTTTCATTTGTTACCTGCATGTGAATTTCTCATGACTTTCTTTACTTGTCTTTCTAGTTTCTTTCTTTTTCTTTTTTTCTCAGAAGAGACTTGGAACGAGTCTGATTCATGGTGTTAATAGAGGCTTCTTGTTTTAGGAAGCTTTGCTTACACCCTGGAGCCTTTACACTCTGAAGAGTAACTTCAGAGTTATTTCAAACACTTGTGTAACTTCACACAGCAGATCTGGGGTGTGGGAACAGTTGACAAAGTTCTGGAAAGATGCCATTCATTCTTTGTGGTCCCTTACTTCCTGTTGCTGGCTATGGTCTTCCCAGTGTGTCCCTAGGATCTCCTAGGCCCTGGTGACTTTCTCATGCAGTTGTCTTTTCGGTTCTGTCAAACTCCTGATGTTCCGCAATACTCAGAAAATCCTTTGAATGGCAGACTTTCTTTGTCTGTTTCTACAATGTGAAGCTTTAGGACCAAACTGTTAGACAGCATCAGGATTGCAGATTATCTCAAGTAGATTTTGTTGGATTTCAGAACATAGCATAACTCTGAAGGTTCTATGTTTTATATATAATTAATTACTGTTTATGATATAAACTGTGCTATAGTTGCAGAACCATTGTGAATTTCAAAGCTAGCAACCTACATGGTGTACCAAGTTGACTTGAATAAATATGGCAACCGGGTTTGCTAGTCTGCAGAAACTAACTCCTCTCTCACATAAAGGGTTATAAAATTGGTGTTACATGGAAATGGAAAGTAACACAGATAGGAAGACATTTCTATCATTTTTCAAGAACATAGCTGTTTATCTTTAAGAAAGATAATATATCCAAAGTAGTTTTGTGAGTTATTTTCTTTCTGGCATTTAATGTCTAAATGATTATGGGCGTCTTTTGCCCTTTTCCTATCTTGCTCTTAAACCTGGTGACGCTTGATTTACCTTATCGCTTATTTATTTCAAGTGTTTGTATTTGAATTTCGTTAGGAAGAAAGTAAATCTGATGGCCTATTTGTTTGTTTTTGAAAAGCCTGAATCAAATTGGCCAGACTGCTGAGGCTAAACTGTAGCATAAGTTGAGTGCTGCTGTGTGAGCGAGCAGCAGTCGCTCACTAAGTGATCTCCCAGGCAGACACCTGCTTTATAAATTCAGGAGCAGCCTGTCAGCAGTGCCATTGAACTGGGGATGTATGATTTTATTTCAACATTAAAACTAAATTTAAGTTCGCCATTTTTGAAAGTATCAGTAAGATCATGGAACATGTCACAGCACAACTGTCCGTCAGGGAGCTTGTAAGGTGTTGATTTGCAGCCCTGACATACGGGATGTTTATGCTCCTACACAGATTCTTGTTCAATGAAAACAGATTGTCCTATTGCAAAGCAGAATTCAACCACGAGTTGAAATTTAAGATAATGTTTAAAAAGCTTTATTCCTGTTTACAATTTGGAATGAGAAGCAGGCTTCGTTTTAAGTTTGATGAAAACTGGCTCGGATGTTTGTAAGTCAAGAGGAAAGCGGCACAGAGAACAGTGCAGCAGTCACTCGATTACAGTAGAGAGCGAAGTGGGGACTCGGCCATGAGACGAACCGCACAGTGAACCAGTTGGTGGAGCTCCTGGCATTAACTGAGCCAGAGTGATACACATCCTTCGTCTGTCTCGTCAGCACTTGCGTCATTCCTTACAGTTTACAGAACACGTGTAACTTGTAGCTATAAACATTTTGTGCCATTAAAGCTCTCACAAAAACTGCCTGTTGGTATATCACTTTGACGTCACTCTTGTTGCCTGAAATGCCCTTCTATTTCTGCATGAAGCCCTTCCCATGGAGAACTCACTAGGACCAGAGTATCTGACTGGGTAAGAAGTGGTGCTGTTGAAGCCTTCCTGTTGGGAAGTTTGCATTCGAGTGGTAGCAAGCCAAAGGGTAGTGGGTGATCATTTGGGTTTTGTAATATGATTAGGGTTGGCCCAACATTACACATGGGACTATGGAACCAGAGATCTAGCTCACTGGAAGGGAGTTTGCTTGTTCTGTTAAGTCCTGGATTCAACCACAGCACCCCCTCACCCCCACATAAGCATGGGACTATGGTTAGAATTTGAATCTGAAATGTGGTGGAGTTGCACAAAATTCAGTGTTCAATGCAGGGTAAAGAATCAGACTTTGTTGGTCAGCATCCCTCCAAGTTACCTGCACTGCCTTCCAAGAGAAACTGCCTGCTGGGGACACCTCTCCTGAGCATGGCAGCAGCTCCTAATTAGTTAGAGGATGGGTGGCTTCACAGCTGAAGGAAGCAGGGCTAATTAAGTCACCATCACTAGTGACAGGACGGAGAGGAGGTTCTGACTTCATGGCAGACAGGAAGGGACTGGAACCCATGCTCCGAAGGCAGTCTCCAGGGATCTGTTCCATCAGCTCTAGCTGTTCCACTCACAGAGCAGTGCTGCTAGCGGGGACCACGCACTCAACCCATGAGCCTGCGGGGCCACTTTGTATTCAGACTGTCTAGCTCCTGTCACATCAGTTGAGATGCTGCCTGGAAGCAGAAGCAATTTGCAGGTACCAGCCTCTCAAGAGCAAGTAGTGTCAGTTTTCCTAAGCAGTTCTAAAGTATCATTCGTATTTAGGAGACTCACTCAACAGAACGTGACTCCAGCGCGGTCTATAAAGTACACATCAGATCCCGTGTTGGCTACCAACACCAACCCTGGGAAGCAGGGCAGCTTTCTCTGGCCACTGCTCTGGCTCCTGCTGTAAATCCCGCCCCTGGAGACCTCTGGCCACCAGGCTCCACCCCTAGACGACTGTGGTGGCCAGGCCTGACCCCTTGAGGTGGGTGAGCAGCCAGGCCCTGCCCTGAAGAGCTCCAGTGGCCAAGCCCTGCACCCCAGACTCCCTAATGGTAGTTCTTAGCTGCCCTTGCCCCGAGGTGGAAGAGTGATCAGGCCCTGCCCTACAGAAAAGAAAAAAAGTCCCACCAATCCCTGAACTTTCCCCAAGATCAGGCCACGTAATCCCTCCAATTGCGGACCACCCTGGAAAGAACTCCCTTGCGCCCCCCCCCCCAGCCCTGTATAAACCCTGTCTTTTGTTCTGCCACTAATTGCCCAAGTAGACCCAGCCAAACCTGGGTTTTCCCTCCCGATAAATCTTTTAATGTGGTTTGTAGTGTGGTGTGACTTTGTGGGGTACCTTTCCCATTAGAGCTGTAGCGCTTACACTGCCGATATGACTCTCCTGGTGTTTGTGCTCCCCCTCGGGGTCTGAGCTGCTCTGGGACTTTATCCCTCATCTCCAGATCACTGTGACAGACTGGCTCCCCCACCAGTCATTCGGCATTTCATCCACCAGGGGCAATTAGGTAAGTTTCCGCCTTTGCTCAGTGTGAACGTTTCTTTGAGTTCAAGTAAGTGACCGTTGAGTGTACGGCCCACCTCTGGTACTCTTGGAGGTGGAAGCACCCCAGCCGGTTTTTAAGGCTACCGCTGACCCTCTTCACCTGACCCCACCCCATCCTTGGAGCTGCAATCCTACAGTTTCCTTAGGCCTATTGAGCTATTCCTTGCCCCCCTTCCTGCCCCCTTCTGCCTCCCCTTCAGAACTGCCATAATCTCTCAGCTCCTCTAGGTTCTTGCGGCTTTGGGGACTCCATTCCCCAGCCCTTTGCCCCCTAGCTCGGTTTTTATTGTGGCCTCTGTCCTCTAGCAAGCCCTGGTGCCAGGTGCTCTCATCTAGGGGAACGGTGTCGCCGCACCCTCCCATTTCCCCTTGGGATGGATGCCTTTAGAAAACTTTCAGCTCCCCCCCCCCCCAGCACCTGACCTGAAGGGTCTTAAATTTATTCACCTTTCCAATCAAATTTAGCTTCAGTACACCTTAGGTAATCAATCCAAATGGCCACCTAATGGCATTCTAGATCCTAGTATTATTTGGGACCTTTATAAGTACTGTGAACGATTGGAGAAATGGAAAGATTCCCCATTGCTTCCATTCCAGCTTTCTCTTATCCCTGCTCCAAGTCTTCTCTCTCTGTTCTTCCTGTTCCCCCACCTGACTTCCTAGTTATGACACTCAAGCTACTACTTCCAATCCAGCTAATGAGCCTCCCCACTACTGGCTTTAACCCACAGCTCTTTCTCCTCTGGCCCCTCTGGTTTCCGTATCTCCGTAATCAGTGACGGGCCATCCTAGTCAAATCTCCCTAACTCCAGCCCACTGGCAGCGCTTAGTCCTCCCACTACTCCTTCCCACTCCACCGTGGGACCTCCTCTCTACCTACCTCCTCCTATGTGGCCTAATCCAGCCCAAGTTCTTTCTCTGTGGGAGATTATTGGGGTGGATGACTTGGCCAGGGTACATATCCCTTTCTTACTAAATGATCTCTCTCAGATCACTTTCGTTAGTGAGTTTCAGACTATCTCCCAATCTTACACTCTCACCTTCCGTGACATTTATATGATTCTCAACAGTAGCCTCCCTGAGAAGTGCCAGCAAGTCTGGGACCAGGCTAGGGCACGTGCAGATGAAATCCACCAAACCAATGCTGTCCTCCCAGTTGGGGCCGAGGTGGTCCTGACAGGACCTTGAATGGAATTACAATACTGCCGAAGGCATTCTAGCTAGAACCCAACTTATAATTTGCCTCCTGGACAGTCTCCACATGGCTGCCCTTAAAGTGCTAATTATGAAAATATTCAAGAGATCATCTAGGACAAACATGAACAAC